CACTTCATATTTTATCAGCATCCCCAATCACCTCTCTCCCCCCTGCCCAGCGATTAAATTGGCAAGGACTGCTTCTTTATGAAAGGAGCTGGGCTCCAAGACAAACCGCTCGTGCGGAAGATGGCAGCTGGAGCAGTCTAGACTGGGGACGGGCTCAGGAACACATCTGCCCTCGAGAGCGGGCTGCCTGCCAGGGTAACGCCACGCCGCCAGCTGGGCCACTGCCACCAGGGTTTGAACCTGGGGCTCCTGGCCACGCACCGCGCCGGCCGACGGGAACGGGAGGGCTGGTGGTGCACCCACCCCAGGACTTTTCCGACTTGGATGCTCGGGGAGTCATTTGAAACATAGTCCCTCCTTCCCTCTTGTGTTACTCAGTGCTTCCAGCCCGCTCCTCTGCACGTTCAGCATCAGGTATGGTTTTCGTGCTCTAAAAATAGCCCTCAGACAGAATCCCAGACTGGTCAGGGCTGGAAGGTCCCTCTGTAGCTCCCCCAGTGCCACCCCCTGCCAGAGCAGGGGCACCTCCAGCAGTGGCACAGGACGGCGTCCAGGCGGGTTTGGGATGGCTCCGGAGGGGGAGACTCCCCCACCTCTCTGGGCAGCCTGTGCCACTGCTCTGCCGCCCTCAAATAACAAAGTTCCTCCTCGTGTTTAGAGGGAACATCCTATGTTCAAGTTTGTGCCCATTACCTCTTGTTCCATCACTGGGCACCACTGAAAAAAGACCGTTCCCATCCCCCCGGCACCCTCCCTTTAAGTATTTATAAGCATTGATAAGATCCCCCCTCAGTCTTCTCTTCTCCAGACTAAAAAGACCCAAGTCCCTCCCCCCTTCCTCACAAAAAGATCCATTCCCCTAATCATCTCCGTAGCCCTTTGCTGGACCCTCTCCAGCAGTTCCCTGTCCTTCTTGACCCGGGGAGCCCCGAACTGGACACAGTGCTCCAGATGTGGCCTCATCGGGGCAGAGCAGAGGGGGAGGATGACCTCCCTCGACCTGCTGGCCACCCTCTGCTTGATGCACCCCAGGATGCCATTGGCCTTCTTGGCCACCAGGGCACACTGCTGGCTGATGGGCATCACTAGTCAAAAGAATCAATAGGGGGCTTTTCCTGTCTGCAGGAGCCAGAAAGCTATGGAATTACAGCCTTACTATATAGGAAGAAAAAGGTCCAACTTGGGGTACGCTGTCTACAACCCAGCTAGAGCCCAGGGCTGTGCCAGGGCAATGGGCTTGCTGCAGCTTTACCGCGTAACGCAGGGCACGCACATCCCCGCAGGCAGTGCTGACGGGGCGAGGGCTACAGCCCCCTAAATCTCCCCGTCAAACCTGCTGCTGGTATAGACAAGCAAATAATACCCCACCCCATCCACCAAAGGATTCAAAGCACCTATCGCATCCCAGCCTCGCGAGGGCTAGAGGGCTGGGTGTGCTGGCAAAAAAAATACTATTTTTTTGTATATTATTTTTCTTCTGTGAGTGCCCAAGTTACTTGCTCGCTTGGCCCCGTGCAGGGACGGGAGATCTCAAGCAAGGCTCGGCGGAGGTGCCGCGGCGGCCGTGGGGATGATTCAGAGGGACCTTCGCCAGCTGCTGAGTCAGTGCTGCGTTACTGACTTAGCATGATGTTTGGGTGTTCTTTTCGCTCTCCCCCCCCTCCACAAGAAATTTAGAACAGAGATCCCAAATGCTTGTGGTTATTAATGGTTCCCAAGAAATTTTTCTTTTTTAAGAATGTATTATCCACCCTCCCCTAGCCGCCCAGCAAACCCAACATTCCTGAAGAATTAATGCTCTGCCATTAGTTGCACATGGGACGCAGCATCTCCGTTTTCTGGTCCACAGCACCCCGGTGGTCTTTCAGGGCAGATTAATCCACCGAGGGTCCTGCCTGTTAGTGCTTGGGCACCAGATCCTTTCAGCCCCATGCTTGCGCTCCTCTAACCAGGCGGACGCTTACCTCAAGGGTGGGGATGGGGCCCTTCTGCACTGATTATACCAGAGTTATTTTGGTAGAACTCACAAAGCCAGAATTGCAGAGACCGCAGTGCCCGAGTCATCGCTGCCTCGCACCCTGGCTGTCAATCCCATCCTGATTTGGGGATGGATTGAGAAAGACAGTCTTTTCTCCTCTTTAAGTGGGGAGCCGACCACACGGAGTGCTGTGGGCTGCCAGCCATCAATCACTGCTAAGGTGGCTCCAATCCTTGCTGAAAAGGTAGAAGGTGGTCTCCCATACACGCTTCTCTGCCCAGGGTGAGTCTTCTTGAAGAGACCTTGTATAAGGCAGTACAACCGGGAAAACTAATTCATCATCTTATCCTTCCACCCATGGGCCAGACTCTATGTATGACACTCATAGAATCATAGAATGGTTTGGGTTGAAAGGGACCTTGAAGATCATCCAGTCCCCCCCCCTGCCCTGGGCAGGGACACCTCCCACCAGCCCAGGTTGCTCCAAGCCCCGTCCAACCTGGCCTTGAACCCCTCCAGGGATGGGGCAGCCACAGCTTCTCAGGGCAACCTGCCCCAGGGGCTCACCACCCTCAGAGTGAAAAATTTCTTCCTAATATTTAATCTAAATCTCCCCTCTTTCAGTTTAAAGCCATTCCCCCTCATCCTGTCACTACATGCCCTTAGAAAAAGTCCTTCCCCATCTCTCCTGTAGGCCCTTTAGGTAGGCCACAATAAGGTCTCCCCAGAGCCTTCTCTTCTCCAGGTTGAACAACCCCAACTCTCTCAGCCTGCCATCACAGCAGAGGTGCTCCAGCCCTTGGATTGTCTTCCCAGCCCATAACCTGCCCCATCCAGGGAATGCACCGGGCTGTGATATCGCCCAGCAGAGCGGGAAGGGCTGTACTGAGCTCATCGGAAACCTCTGCCCAGCAACACGAGGACGGCGCCAGGTAATTACTCAAGCACAGAGCATTTATCGTTGCTTGTTCTGAAACATGCTCGTCTGGCCATCGAAGTGCTACATTAATTTCTCAGCATGTCATCCCCATTCCGGTCTTTTCTCCTCTTTCTCTTCCCACGTCAGAGCCATCCAGGGAAGTATGGTACAGAGATCTCCGCATGAGTCACAGGAGCTATCAAGCACCGCACGGCAGCCAGCTCCAGCCGAGCCATAACCTTTCCCTCCCAAAGTGCCGACTTTGTTTCCAGCAGCCAAAGAGGATAAGGCCAGACAGAGCCTCAAAACATTCTCCTGTCCCTCGATTCAGGACTCCAGTTGTTCTCAGACAGGATGGAAAAAATCCTGCCATCTCTCCCCTCAGCCTTCCACAGCCTGAACCCATCTCTTTGCTATGATTCACAAGCTGAGAGGGATTTTCCGCTCCAGCTCAATAATAAGCTCTTTACATCGCAGGGGGAAGAAGGAGCTTGGTCCCCCTCATGGCACTTGAAAGGCAAGAAGGTGGGAAAGGTCAGAGTCTCACTGGGCTCAGAGCCAGATTCACCCCTTACAGGTAAGGAGCGTTTGAAGAGAAGTTCACCGTCGCTGAATTTCTTCTCTTGGAAATATGCCCGAAATGACTCTCCACGAAACACAAGATGACTGCCCGAAGATAAAATCGCTGAAGCTCATTCCATCTACTCAGGGATTTAGCAAAACATCTCCAAGTACCATGACGAGAACAGGGATACGTGCCTGGGACCGCAGGCAGGAGTGTGGGGCTGCGCTGCGTCCCCCTGCCCGGGGCAGCACCCTCACCTCTCCCCGGGGGGAAACCTTCGGGCAGAGCACCCCCAGCAGTGCCTCCCCACCCAGATTACACCGAGAGAAGTCACCACGCTGCTCTGAAAGGGGACAGGCGGGAAACGCAACCCGTGAAGGAAAGCCCCATTGGAGGCAAGCCCCCGTCGAAGGCTTGGCGAAACACCACCACTTGGCTTTAGGCATTACTTGCAACAACGAGCGGCACATCTGCAGACACAAGTGCTGTTGATTGTGTTCCTTAAGCTAGCATCAATATTTCCATTGTAAACCCTTCTTTCACTATTTTAAGAAGTCAGCTGTAAAAATTTGCTTTAGGCTGGAACTTGGCAAACAAAGACTCCGTCTGGGAGAAACTTATTTTACGTTACCCCTCTCTCGTATACACAATATAGCAAAAGGCTCAGGTTGGAACACCAAATCCTCCTAAAAGTTGGCCAGTTTAAAAATTCTGTTTGCATTCTTGCATTTGAGAAAAAAAAGAAAAAAAAAAGGAAAAAGCTAGCAGATAATTAGCATGGCCTGACTGCTTTTAGCATTACAAAATGTGTGTATACTTTTATGATGGCCAAGATATACACCCTGAGAGCGGTTATTGTGTGTGGAATGCAGTAGTTAAATTTATAAAGGAAACTCTTTGCACGTTTTAAGTGTAAGCTATGAGAAAAAAAAAAAAAAAAAAAAACCAAACACAACACAAAACTTATACCATAAAAATAGAGGAGGTTTGTTTAAACAAAATGAATCCTGAGGCAATCTCTGTACTTGCATTTGCTGAAACAGAGCATTTCTCTGGAAACGTGAATTTCAGGTACAAAACAAATTAATAAGCAAGGTTAAGAAATAGTTAATTTGTGGCATGTTTTTGAGGCACCTGGGTTTTCTTTGGGAGGTGACTGGCAGTTCTGCCCTCTTGGCCCTGAGTAAAACTGGGGGTGTGGAACAGCCCCCCAACCTGGCCATCAAAATTTTAACCAGCAACGTGTAGGAAGGAAGGTGGGATGTGTTGGGTTTTTTTTTAATTCTCTTTTCTTAAATCTATCATTAAGCAGCAACTTTAATCGCAAACCTTTAAGGGGCATCCACCATCACAGAGCACTTGAGTTTACACTGAGACATACACTAAAATTGCGATCATCAGAAATGTAACAGTGCTTGGCTGCTATTTCGAGTTGTCACGCCCCGCTGAGCTCTACGGAAACCCTTGTAGGTTATGGTCTGCCAACCAGTTAGCTGAGCTGAGACTAGGAATAGTCATCATTAAGAGCCTGAACTTACCTGAGGTCCTCTCTCTCCTTTCACGCCTGGATATTCCAGTAAAAATGGAAACGGAGTGGGTCCGAGGGGGTCAAAGATCTGATAGCCATCAGTCGCAGCTGGGGTTGTGAGGTTGAAGGCCTGTGCCCTGGCTCTGGAGACGGGACGGGCAGACCCCGGGGGCGGTTTGGTGTACACCAGAGGGACATTACTGGGATCCACTTTCCTGGTGGGGGACGGCACATGCTTCTTTGGAATGGGCCCATTGCTCGGGTTCTGTGGGGTTTGCTTTAGGGTGACAAGGTGAACGTTGCTGGTTGTGTTATCAGTCATCCTCCTCATTGGCTTTACAGTACTGGGTGCTTCGGAGGGCTCAATGGTCGGTTTTTGGTTGATCCTCTTTTTGGTCTCTTGCTTGGACTCCTTCCTGCTGGCTGTGGCAGGGCTCTGGCTTGTCGGCGGGGCCTTTTTGGCAGTGGGAAGGGAAGTCTTCTCCACACGTGTGCTGGAAGTGGGCCGAGACACCCTGAGGGGGATTGTCACCGTCCCCCGAGGGAGCGAACGGGTGGGTGGCTGTGTTTCAGTACTTGGTGGAACAGGAGATGGGGCCACTGTGACCTTTGTGGCTTTGGTTGTCAGTCTTGGCAGCGATGGTGGGGATGACACCAATGAGACAGTTGTTGCACCTGAACCCCGAGTCTTGAGGGGCGCAGTGACCCTGCCAAACTCCAAGGATGGGGCAGCAGTGGTCAGGTTTTTCAGACCCTGCAGCGAGGGCTCCATATGTTGTGGGGTACTCGGGGAGGCACTGGGATCCCTGGGCAGGAGGGGGATGAGGGGGGGCAGGTTTGGCCGGTAGGTATCTGCTTGCCTGCACTGTTTTTTCAGGTATTTACAGTAATGATGAGCTGCCTTGGCGGAAGGATAAATATCGAACTGGCAGATGGCTCCTTCAAACTGCACGGAGTGCTGGTTCATCTTCCCAAAGAGGAAAGATCCATGTGGATCCAATGCCTCGTCCTTTTTAAAATGCAAATCCGCATGTACTCTGCGCTTCCCACAAGAAGTAAATAAAGTGACTGTCTGGCCACGGATATCGATGGCCATATTGTGCCACTGGCCATCATGGACATTGTAATCAAAATATACAGAGCGCTTGTGGCCCACATACACTATGATCTTCCCAGGCACAAACTGGACCCCCAGCTGCAGTTTTTTCTTTTTGCTCTTGACAGCAAAGAGAAAAGCATTGTTGATGCGGTGGGAGCAGAGGCTCAGCACTAGGAGCAGGTCAGTGCTGGAGCCTGCGGGGAGGATGGTGCTGACCGGTGCTTCGACACGTGCTCGCTGAGTGAAGATGACCCCTGATTTGAAAGGAATGACCCCTTGAGGAACTGTACGCGATGAGGACCATCCGCTCGATGGCCTTTTCCCTGACAGGCCCAGTCTTTGAAGAACGTCCACATCTGAAAAGAAAACACAAAGAAAACGTGAGGTGTTGGGCAACCCAAGGGCTGGATGGGTATGGGGAGTCAAGCCGGTCCATGAACAGATTACAAGAAACCCCAACCATCCTCTCACACATACGTGTTCAAATAATCAGAATGGGGAGCACACAGCGAGAGCAGCAAGTGCACGCTCAACTTGGTCACCAGCAATTGCCAAAATGCATCAGCTCCACGGTGCATCTGGTTAGCTATCCTGTCCCACCAGGGACCAGCTCCAGATGTTCTGGAGGGAGCTGACCTCACTGCAAGGAAATTTCCCACTGAGCACCAATAGTCCACTTCTCTGGGATTTAATTCTGAGTACTGACCACACAGCTGGAAAGGAATTTGAACAACAGACTGAGCTGGGATTGCAAAATTTTATATCCCCAGAAGGCAAGGAAGAGAACTTTCAAAGGGAGCAGAAGTCTTATATCTGTCTCTCTCCAAATTAGTAAGAAGCAGCTTTTGATCTTTGAGACTCTGGAGAGTTTAGGGAAGCAAAGGTGCCTCCAGCATGAAAAAAATCGCACCTA